TTCTCCGGTACCGGGAACCGAACTCACGACCTTGCGCTTGCCAGGCAGGCGCTTTGCCTCTGAGCTAAATCCCAGCCCCTAGACTACTTTATTTCATTTATTGCCTATGCTTCCTTTAATAGCAAATGCCTATATAGCACTTGCTACAGGTCAAGCCCCGTTAGAAGCTCTTTATGAATTCACCAAATCCTCCAGCAATCCTGCACAGCAGTGATTATTATTCTTGCCGTCTTGTAGATGGGAGGGCGGAGCCCGGGATAACTCCCCCGGATTGCTTGCTGTCTGGCAAACCTGGTAGAACAAAGCCTGGGTTTGGGGCCCTGGCTCTTATGCAGCACATAAAATACTGTCCTGTGATGTGGGGGAGCATTTCTCAGTTTGGTTAACATTGAGTCTCCAGGGCTTATGGTAGTGCCCAGCACATGGAGGTGCTCAATTAATAGTGAATGAATGAAGAAACAGGCAAGTAAATACTGGGCATGGAGGATATGATAAAATCAAGAGCTACTTGCCTTCCAAGGGCTCACAGTCCCATGGGGATAGATAACGACTGCAATACCACTGTGGAACAGCATCATGGGAATCTAGAGGAAACACATCTTGCCTGGCCTCTGCAGAAGGCTTCTCAAAGGAGGGTCACAGAAAGGGACAGGCACAGTGACACTGTCTATGTCCTCCAAACTCCTCCCAGGGGACAAACATACCTTAATTCTTTCTGTCTCAGTCCACAGGGTGCCGGAAGATGACAGTAGCTCCACGGGGACAACCAAGGCAGAACAGGCACACTCAGGCTCTGGAGGTAGACTGCCTGGACTGATCTCCCCTCTACCAAACACCAGTTAAGTAACCTTGCACAGGAAGCCCGGCCTCCCTGGGCCTTGGTGGTTGCATCTGTAAGGTGGGGGTAGCAATGATTCCAACTTCCTAGGGGTACTGCGTAAGGAAGGCGAGGTGCCAGCTTCAATGGAGATGACTAATGCTCTGCTTCCATTCTACACTGTCTGCTGCCTTTGGGGGAGGAATGGGAGAGAGAGAATTAAACATACTGTGCTTCTTATTGTTCTCTCTGCTATGGCTTCATCCCATTTTTCAGAAATAGCTCAAAGCAGAATTTGTCCATGAACCTTTCTTAGCAGAGGGGCCCAGTCCCTAGCTCCTACCACAGTACCCGAGACATAGCAGGTGCTTGATAAGTATTTGATGAATGACTGAGTGATTACATTTTTATGCCTCCAGGACCTTTGTAAGGACAAGTATTTGTGTTGCCGTTGTTTTCATTTACAGATGAAGGACTGGAGCTTCAGCAAGTTAAGTGAAACACGCAGCCTGTAAGCAGAACAGCCACTCAGACGCCAAGCCCCATGTTCCTTCCTCCACACACGCTACTCCCTGGACTCCTATACATCATGTCCTACTTTCCATGGATTTTTCTCCTTGCCAGTGGGGCCATCCCTGCTTGTGGAATCATCTCCGAATTCTATGACTCATCTCTGAATCACAGAACTGTTTCAGAGTTGAAAGGGACTTTTGATGTCATCTAGACCTCCCACCCACTGTGGAAATTTCCTCTCCAGTACCTATCTTCCCAATTCTTGAATGCCTCCAGCGATGAAACACTCATTTTCTTCCTCTGGAATCATTAAGTTCTATGACTGGACTGCTTTTACGGTCAGAAAGTTGCACATCCTGTGGGCTAACGGGCCTCTTTCATGTCTAGGTCCTGAGCTCGTCATCTGCCTAAGATACGAACAGTAGATCTGCCCCCCTCACACAGCAGCCTTTCAGATGTCCAGACAGCTCTCACAGCCCTCTGAGAATTCTTCTCTTCCAGCCAGCTGTTTCCGGTCTCTATGATAATGACTCTGGTGGACGTGTTCCTCCTACAGCTGGACAGGCTGTCCAAGTCAGCTGTGGTGCCCCTACTGGGAGATGAGGGAACTGCACCAAGGGATCCACTCCTGCTGTCTGAGGTGTTTTATCAGAAAGGTACGCTGACACTAGTGTGAATAAATAACTTCTTATTGTGAAGTGTCACCCACTTAGAGCTTGTTTCCAACGTCTATCTAAAAGAATGGTTGGAGACCATTGTGGACTATCATATGGTTTACCAATCACGAAGATCTGACAAGCGATAGGTTTGGGCCAAAAGGCTATTGTTTAACCAACTATTTGGGAGAAGAGATTTAAAAACGTATGCTGTGCTATAGGATTATAGTGATTTTTCTTTTTTTTTCCTCACTCATCTTTATTTTCTAATGTTGCTACAATGGGCATTTGTTATGAAAAAAAGATAAAAACAGCCAGGTGTGGTGGCGCATGCCTGTAATCCCAGCACTCGGGAGGCTGAGGCAGGAGGATAGCTGTGAGTTCAAGGCCAGCCTGGGCTACATAGTGAATTCAGGGCCAGCTTGAACTAAATAGAGAGACCTTGTTTTAAACCAAAACCCAGACAAAACACCAAAAAAAGAGGATAAAAACATGTATAAAAGGGAAAAAATTAAAATCCTGTCTTAGTTTCTCTCTCTTTGGCACTTCCCAGGATATTCTTCATGGCCTGGGGATGTGGTCTCCAACCAACAGGATGTGCTGCCATCCTGTGGGTAGGTGCCTTGGTCATGTCTCCATGGTGACCGCCATGGCCAGGGGTTCAGATGGCCAGGATCCCGCATGGACACGAGGAGTCTCCAGCAGCAGGTTCAAACTGAGCTGGGCTCTCGGCAGGGGTGGCAGGTGGCTCTGTGCTGCTGCCCCTTCCCTCCTGGTTTAGGTCACATTCATGCGGTTTGTGTCTCCTGCTCTTGTCTCTTGAGGTCTGCCCCCCGCATTGCCAGCCAGTGGCCTTGTCCCCATCGGCCCTGAGCCCAACCTTCCCACTTCCCTCCACTTCCCAGCATGCTCTGGGCTGCCTGCTCTTCTTCCACGTGAGCGGCTCCCAATGATAAGCGGACGGAAAGACATCAGGGTTAGAAAAACAAATCCCCACAGAAGGGAAGACCTTGGACCAGCGGCATTGCTCCTCCAGCAAGTTCGCAGCCACTAGGCTTTTCCCCAGCCCCGGAGTCCTTGTCCTTGGGAGCTCGGGGCACCCAGGTGCCGGGGAGACTCACCCGGCAGCCTCTCGCTGCAGCACATGTCCAGGGCACCTCCTGTGGAGTCATCAGCGGCACGGCTCTCTCTCTCTCCTGCAGCAGGAGGGAAAATGCGAGAGGAGGCTGTTGAGCCTGGATCAAGACAAAACCCCGAGCAAACAGGTGAGGCCTTCTTCTCCTGCACTCGGGGGCCCTCTGAGTAACCCCACCTCATAGGGGCACCCGAAGAAAATATTAACCTGTCATGGGTCACACTGCAAAGGCAGGAGTGGAGAATTGCAGGTATCTTCCCTGTAAAATCACCATCATCTTCACCACCAACCTCTCTACCATGGAAGGAGGGTTTAGTACGTGCAAAGCACTTCACAAACTTTACCCCACTGCGTAGCATACTGAGTCCTCATCATGAACCAGGAACCAGGAACTGGAACCAGGAACCAGGGATTAAAGAAACTCAGAGAGGTTAAGCAACTTGTCTAAGGTCACACAGCTCATTAGAGCTGGGTTTGAAATTATAATTTGGTGCTCCACACTCAGGCTCTGATTGCTGTGCCATTCTGTCTTCTAGTTACTGGGGTTTTGAATCATGGATGAGCCACAAAAGGGGTCTGGGCAGGACACAGTCCTGTATCCAAGTGCCCAAGATGTGCTTGCATTCCTCAGGGTCTGGCTTTTGGGCTGCTGGTGCCGAGTCATGGTCATATGATGCCCTATGGGGAAGGCTGCAAGGACCTGTGCCTGGGGCCTCAGAGCTGCCTCGTTCCTTCCACTCTGAGCCTCGATGTCCATGGAGCCCAAGAGATGCCCCAGGACCCTTCCAACAAATCCCCACATTTTAGTGAAGCTGGTGGGATCTGTGTTGTGAAACTGGCAACCTCAAGCATCCTTCCCGGGGCTGCCCTGGTGCAACACTCTGAAGATGCCCACGGCCGTGGCCTCTCTGCTACCTGCCTTACAGTTCTTCCCCTCTTACTGGTCCCAGAGCCTAGTTCAGCCCCAATCACAGATTTTAAATAATTAAAGGCAGAAAGGCCAGGTTAAGGGTGATTCTTCTTTCTCTGACATCTTCTGCTCTCGATGGAATTATTTTATTTCTTTCCTCACTCCACTTGGCAGGGTCTCTGAACCCCAAATTCCAGAGCCCAGCCTTCCTAGAGAGAGAGGGATGCTAAGTCTAAGGCAAGTGCCTAACTCTGAGGGCTCTCTCTGCTTCATGGTCTCTGGCACCCACGTAGGCTGGACACTGAAACATTCTCTACCTGGCTCCAATGCACATGGCTTACACAGGCCATACGATTCGCATCCTGCACAACTGGATGGGGCCAGCTTGAGATAGAGTCAATTCTTTCTGACTAAAATTTATCATGTAAAACTCACTGGAACCATATTTCCATGGCAACCTAATTTACTTAGAATAGAGAAAAACTGTTGGGCATAGTTCACTAGCTCTTGCATTGACTGGTCCCATCTATCCTTCAATTTCATGTTAATCTCTCTCTTCACCTCTGCATTCCAGTGGCTCCAGACAGTCTCTTGCCTTCACAGTGTTTGTACTCTCTCCCCTCTCTCCCTGCAGGGCTCCTCTAGCTCAGCTTCCAAACACGTTTTACTCATAATTCTTGATGTGGCTGGGAATTCTATTTTAATTTATGCCATTGCTTGACTGATACCAGTCTCAGCCATTAGACTACAGGTTACATGTGGGCTACAAGGGGCACCACCTCTGGTTTATTTACCATTGTATTTTCAAAGCGGAGCACAGTCCCTGGCTCATGCTGGGGAGTTCAATAAATAGACAAACAGCTGTGCAGTAAATGCACGTTGCCTCCACATTCTGGAGAAACATAACGGACCTCAAACACGGCCCTCGTTTGAGCCATCTGTGCACAGGTCTTTGCAAAGCCACTTGGAAAATCCCCCCACAGCCGCTGCTTAGATTAGAGAATCACAGATCCGTAAGGCCTCTCATTTCACAGAGGGGAAACTGAGGCAGAGAAAGTGAGTCTGACTTTGGTGGCCACAGGGGCTGGGCCTGAGAACTTCTACCCCCTCCCCACAGCCTCCCAATCCTGAGCTTGCTTTCTTTACCTCCGGAGGGCAGCCCATAACGGTAGGGGGCACACAGGTAACTAAAGTATCCAGGTACCTCTGGAGGGGACTCACATGTGACTCATACCTGCTGTCACATCTTAAGCCTCCAGGCCCCCAGCCGCGTTGAGAATAGCTCAGTGCTATGTGCGTGCTGTGGACTCTATAAATAAGCTTCCTAGAAAATGACTAATTTCATAAGCAGAAAAGCAGAAAGAGTGGTACCTCTCGGCTGCAGAGGAAAATGGAGCGAGAGCCTGCCGCTCTGCCCTGTGAGCGAGCAATTCCAGGCGCCCCCGGGAGAAAGCTGCGCATCTAGGCTGTTCAGGGAAGGGTTTAACTAGATTTCCAGAGGGAAGAGAGGCCCGTTGGAGCTGGATGGAGAAGCCCAGTCTTGGGCACTGAGCTCCTCCCTGCCCACCAGGAGCAGAAATAGCTGCTTGTAATGGATTGCTGTAGGCTCCTTCTCTGTCCTCCTCCTCCTCCTCTACTTCTATCAGCCAGGCAACAGGAGCAGAAAATGGCCTGTGTCACAGGCAGCAGCTCACAGGGCTGGCCCCCGACTGTTGCTCTCAGAACCAGAGAGCCCCACAGATAAAGGGGCTCATTCAGCAGGCGCTGCTGAGGTCTTGAAGTAAGCAAGGCCCACAGCCACCCCGGGAATACAGTGTGGACGAGCCAGGTCCCTCTCACAGGCTCCAGTCTTGCTGAGGAGACAGATTGCACCCCAATGCTTCCTTCACTGACTACGCATGCAGAGGGCTCCACCTGGTTTGTGGTGAGGGACGGGGGAAGGAGTCTCCTGCAGGGGGACACAGGAGCTGGTTCTCAAAGGGATGTTTCCAGGTGGACGACGGGTTGCAAGATAATACTTCTTCAGCAGTACAAACGGTCAGGGCAAGGCTCGGAGGCCTGAGATGCGTCCACATGTGGCACTAACTGGAAGTAGGCTGGTCAGTGGGCTGGGAAGCAGATGGGGCACCCAGGCCTGAGAGCAAGCACCAGCCTAGGCAGGAATCCTGCCTCCTGGGTGGGGAGCCCTCTTTCACTCGAATGTAGCTTCCTTGTATCAAGAACACTTCGCCTGGGGTGGAGCAGGTTGGTAACAGGAAGAGGCCATTACACTCAGCTGGTGGTATCTGATGTAGTCCCAAACTACTTTCATTTTTTAATTGTGACAAAATTTACATAGCATAAGAGTTACCAATTTAAGCCATACAATTTGGTAGCATTTAACACATCATAATGTTGTGCAACCACCACTATTATCCAGTTCTAGAATATTTTATCACCCTAAAAGGAAAGCCCATCCACCCAACTGCTACAGCCCATGCCGCCAGCGGGGTCTTGAGAGGGGGCGATGAGAGATTAAGAATAAACCAGACACAGGCTGAAAGGAAAGCTGGGACTGGGTGGGAGCTGACCTCTCTGGAGAGGCAGTGACAGCCCAGCATGGTCTACATCTTTATATACACACAGTAAAAAGGGGGGATGCGCATGACAGGCCACAAGTGCAAGGTGTCAGTGTTTTGCTGAGAACACTGAAAGTGAAACATTCTCAGCGCCATCTGTGCCGTAATTAACAGGGAGGAACACCAAGGCCGGACACCTGCTGGACTGGTTTGCTCTAGTCCCAACAACTTGTTCACACGGCTCGCCTCTGGAGCTCTGTGTTCTTGGGGCTGGCCTGGCCCCAACCCTCAATGTGTGGCCAATCTCCACCTCAGCTGCTCCCCACACCAACTAAGGAGCTGCTCCCATTTTCCTCTCCCTCCCAGCCCCTGGCAAACACTGATGTATTTCCTGTCTCTATGGACTTTCCTACTGGGGACATTTCAGATAAATGGAATCAGGCAACATGTAGCCTTTTATATTTGGATTTTTTCAGTTAGCATAATGTTCTCTAACTTCACCCAAGCAGATACCATGTATCAGTACCGTACTTGCTTCTTTTTCTAATGGCTGAATCATTTCCCGCAGTATGGAGAGGACATTGCTTTCGCCCATTCATCGGCCGATGGGCATCTGGGTTGTTCTGGCCTTTTGGCTACTGTGAGTAGTGTGGTTATGGGCCACTCCTTCACATCACACTCCCAACAAGCTTATGTTCTTGGGAGAGCCTTTCCTTCCTTTGGACCTGAGTCCTCACCTATAAAATAAGGTGGCCAGACTCTAAGCCCTTTGTCACTTGAACGTCACCCCCTTCACTGGTTTGTGTCTATGGCACTAACGTTACTCTGTAGCCGCTCCACCAGTGCTGGGAGCTGGAGATCCAGAACACACCACTCACCCCAACTTCCTGGAGCTCAAGCCTGGTGGCGGAGACAGCGAGGCTACTGTGGGCTGGATGGAACAGCTAGTAGAGGCCTGTCTGGGAAGGGCTGGGGCACCATCTCTCTGCCTGGGGGGTGGCGGGTGATATTATGAGGCTTCTTGCCTGCCAGCTCTGCTTGGTGCTCATGGAGAGAAAGAGGTGACAGGTTTCAGGTGGTGGCTACAGTGGCCTGAGGCTGCTTCCAAGCTGGACAAGGGGTGAGGAGGCGATACAATACTGAAGCCAGGATTCTGGGAGTGCAGCTGAGCCCACCCCAGGCAGACACGCCCTGTACCTTGGACTCCACACCGAGGAACCCTAAACACCCACGTCACCATGGAGCTCTTACTACTCTCCCAAAGCTCTGACCCCACCGGACGTCTCTGTTTGCCAAATCAAACCTGCCCATTCCTATTGCCAAGCCTTTGTTCGTGCTGTTCCTTACCCCGCAGTACCCTTTTCAACCTCTGCCCAATTTCTTCTCTCCAAGGCTCTCAGGTGCCACCTCCCTCACACGTGCTCTCTGATCTCCCAGGAAATCAAGTTTTGCCACCTTTTGGTCTCCCTCCCGTCGCCTGGATCATGTCTCTCGTCTCTCACTTTGTCCTGCTGCTGTAGTTGGCTGCTTATGCACCTGCCTCGCCCACATCCTCATCCCCTCCACCTGCACCCCAGGTGTTCAGCAGGGGGC